GAGGGTACAGGGTTCAAATCATGGCCTTGGATCTTACATGTTCTCCCTATGCTTGCAGGGTTTCTCTTTAGGTCTTCCTACAGTCCAACAACATGACTATTAAGTTTATCTTTGGCTCTAAATTGCCCCTTGATCTGAGTATGTGTACTTATGGCCGTTAGTCCTCTGTGATCCTAAAAAGTGACATAGAAGATGGATGGTTTTCAAATTGTCAAGAACAGCTGAGCAATAATACAAAAAGCAGCTAATGTTCTACCAAAAAAAACTTGAAGTACCTAGCAGGGAAGTCATATTTAAATTCTAAATCATTCTGGCTTAAAAAAGTAGGTAAATGTATTCTTTATCAGACCATATTGTCCCAAAAGTTAGAAAATTTCTATTTAAAAAAAATAAAAATCCTGTCTTAAAATCTATGTTTGTTTTTTTGTTATTTTATGAAGGCCAGTTACATGTCAGCTTGTACACCTAAATTCGGCCAATCATATATAAACGGTGATCTGTCAATCAAATATTTTCAGTCATAGCACCTTGATTCATATGTTGCAGCTAATGTACGCAACGGTTGAAATAAGAATCATTTACTTCACCATTGAGGAACTTCCCAGTGTTCATGGGGATGGACGTCTATGTCTTCAGCAGGCGAACTGGCAGCGTTTTGAGGCAAAGGCTCAAACATGTACAGCTGTAATCTTCTACACCAAACCAAGCTTCTGCTGCCCTAGCGTCCTCTTCCACAACATCTTCGTCCCCGCTTTCCTCCTCTAAATAAAAAATGTATAATGGAGGATACTCATCCACGACCTCTGACACAAAACCCTCCTCCTTTTGCATGTTTTCCCTGTGTTCCTCGACAGTGTCGTTACTAAGTCACCAATTTAGTGCTACTTGGTAGGGAGAATTTGGAAATTGAAACGTTGGAACAGACGCTTCGCTACGACTTTAGTAGCGTTTTAGGAAATACTTTTCAAGACCAATTTTATGATAATCTACAAGGACATAGCATTATATAAACTGTAGATGAATCAGAAGAACTTTTACACACTACCCCTAATAAATATAAACATTTTCTGTGTTCCTTTCTCAAAGTTTAGAGGGAATTTAGTAGATGTTCTTTTTTTATCGAGAATGAATCAGCAGAACCTGCTGTTCTTACCGCACGGTGCAGGTCAGATACTGCTGTGAACGTTCACACCTTCTACATCATGATCTAAATGGATGGGTTTAAAGATCTGTCACACCAAAGTTTTCCAAAAGCTCTGCTTCATGTTCACTGGATCATCATGCAGGTAACCCTTACTGGTCAAAATGACTAATGGTAGTCCGAAGAGCAGTCATCAATGCCAAATATTATAAAATCCACTAAGGGAATAAAGATAGGCCATTAATTTCCTTAGTACAGAACTTTATGGATATACTCGGATTATAGCTGATTTGGGGATTTTAAAGTAGGATGTTTCTGTTGTCATTTTAACCGTTATCTTTAACTTACTTATCTACTAATATTTTCACCTCTTCAATAGGCTTTGGATCATTTTTAATAGAGAAGGCAACATTCTCTCATATATCTTTAAGTCAAATTATTCAAATTGTACGCTGTGGCATGCTTGCTTTAAAGTTTATTTCGAAGAAACTGAATATGATCAAGTAAATATCTGGATTTATTTATAGTAATTATTTTTTTAATTGTTGCTTGCAAAAATAATGTGTTTTGCAGCAGTTTTTACACCAAAAATATGTTTGTATACTGAAGTGGAACTTTTTTTCCACACACTAATATAGTTCAGTTCCCATTACTGCTCTCATATGATGCAGAACTTTCAGAAGTTTGAATAAATGATTTATTAAAGCAACTTTAAATTCTACATTTGCAACATATATTGATCAATGAAACTGGTGCTGGTGAGAAATCTTGGACTTTGAAAGTGCTAATGGTGCTTTCCATATGTATTTGAAAGTCTTACTTTTTGGGTCCAGCTACAGTATGCACCCCTGAAGTATGAAAACCTGACTTGCAGTCAGTCATACATACAGAAAGCTTTGCATAACATCTGTCTGTAAAGTCCTTTATTGGGGGTGTTACAGTCCATTATTTAGACATATACAGAAAAATATGCTTGGCCTAACTTTGAATGGTCTGTATTTATATATCACCGTTAAAAGTCAGTGGACTTCAATGCTCTACGTGCATTATAATGTAATTTACCCACTCATGATGGCAAGGTACACTGAAGCCATAGCTGCCCTGGGGAGCACTTGCAAAAGTGATGCTGCTGTACCCTGAAGCCACTGGCCCCTCTGATCGCCATCCATAGGCAGTGTGGGTAAAGTGTCTTGCCCAAGGACACAAGGATCAACAGAACTAGGATTTGAACCTCTGTTTACAGTACAAACTCCTGATTTTTGAGCAGTGTGGTCAGTGGTTTTCCAGTCATATAGAACCCATATCATCTCACTGTTTTGCTAACACCGTTAGCAAAACAGTGTTGGATGCAGGATTTGGCCCTGCAACCGGAGGGTTGTTGGTTCAAGCCCTAGCTCCTGCTTTCAGTGTTGTTTTGTCCTAGGGCAAGACATTTCATCCGCATTAGCAACTGAAGGTGATTGGAGGGACTGGAGGCACAAGTGTATGGCAGTCTCGCTTCTGTCATTGAGCCCCAGGGCAGCTGTGGCTACAATGTAGCTTGCCACAATCAGTGTGTGAGTGTGTGTGGTAGGGTTGTCACGATACTAAACTTTTCAACTCAATACCGATACTAAGGAAAATATTCGATACTCGATACCATTTTCGATACCACAAGGATAAAAAGACTCCAAAATTCAACAGAAATTTTCATTAATAATAAAAATACAATAAATAAATACAATAAACAATAAGAAGAATATTTTGAAGTTGTTTGCTGTGCACAATATTAAGCAAGCTTGGTAAAAAACTTACAAAATTAAAATTAAGTTTTCCTTCTTTGGCTATGCTTTGCACAGATAGCAATGACACTAGCCAAATCGGTTAAGAAACAAAAATAATTCTCAGCAGCTGCACCTGTTACAAAAAAAAGTTTGAAACTGAAAAGTGCACAGAATTATTCAATCACACAGTGTTCAGAAAGTGCATTTTCCTCTATTCTGCACTCTAGATGAACTGTTTAGGTGCCACTGGTGGTAGCACTGTATCGATACTTTTGAAAATGAGTATTGTATCCGGATACAACGTTTCAGTATCGATACTTTTGACAACCCTATTGTGTGGATGTGTGAATGGTTGAATGCAGTGTAAAGCACTTTTGTCAAGTATCCTGACTTGAACCAGCGCTGCATAAGTACAGGCCATTTTCCACTTACAGGCCATCAAATGTTTTCTAATTACTACCATGCTGAAAGGCATACGACGGGACATAAATCTTTTCAGTTTACTACGTTTTGTTACAAACTCAAAAAGAAAGTTTTTACATTGACTCTACCTAGTTAGTAGGCTACAATTCAATATAGTTTAGACATCATAAAGGAAAAAGAAAAGTGTTGCTCTTATAGCTATATAAACAAACATTAACATTTATTGGTATTTATCAATCCATCCATTTTCTGTGACACTTTATCCCTGATGGGGTTGTAGGGGGTGCTGGTGCGTATCTCCAGCTGTCTACGGGCGACAGGCAGGGTACACCCTGGACAGGTGGCCAGTCCCTCGCAGTGCTACACAGAGACAAACAGGACAGACAACCATTCATGCACACCGAGAATTTGAGAAGCCAATTATCCTAACAGTCACGTTTTTGGACTGTGGGAGGAAGCTAGAGTACCTGGAGAGAACCCACACATGCTCAGGGAGAACATGCAAACTCTATGCAGAAAGACCCCAGGATTGGGAATCAAACCCGAAACCTTCTTGCTGCTAGGCAGCAGTGTTACCCACTGCCCAACTGAGCAGCCCTTATTGATGTTTATCTTGCACATAATTTGAAAGTTTATGTATTTCTTAATCAGAGGCGTAGCCAGAAAATGTTTATAAGGATGGTCAGGCAATAATCAACGTAGATTGAGGGGTGGCCGAAAGTGGAATGGCATCAGAACCTCAGGGTCAACCTACTCTGTTCCAACAGGAAATGTAACAAGCAAAACATCCATATTTTCAAAATAAAGACTTACTATACTTTCCTACAGCCTTTGCTAACAAATAGACCCCTATATTTAAACATCCATGCTGTCTAAATTAAAGGTATAGTGGTTAAAATTCTTTTAGGTTTGAGTTCTGGGGCAAACATCTTTTCCATTGTCATTACTTACCTACTTTTATCAATAATCCATCAGCATAAAATTAATATTTACATGTACTAATATCTACATGAATTGATTATTTAATATGTTTTTATTCATATACTTATTTATCTTTGATTTCACTAAAGACTCCTAGATGACTTGCAGAGACACATTATTTTCTCTTTACCCATATAACTAAAAATCTAGTTCTGAAAAGAGCATGAATTCTTTATTTATCATCTTTAATATTAGTATATTGATTAGCATAATTAACCACAGGGTTTTTGTTGTCAAGTAATTGGTAATTTATGAAAAATTTAAATGTTCTGAACTTTCCACTTGAGAGTATTACTGTTACCACGGTCTGTATTAGAGGGAAAAAATGGTAGGGGTGGCCAATGATTGGTTAAGGGTGATCATGGCCCCCCTGGCCCCCCCATCTAGCTCCGCCCCTGATTCTTATTGCAGTTACACTGTTTTGCACAGAATGAAAAACACAAGTCAGTTTCAGACGCCTGCGGACCTTTCAGAGGATTTTTCCAGTGTGGAAGTTAGAAATTTCCTCTTTGCGAGCACTGAACAAAACGCACCACAAAGGCTCTAGAGATTATCTCCATGTGGAAAAAAATAAATAAAACACGAATCAGATAAAAGTTGAGAAAGAAACAAAAATGCTCGTTCTGCTGTATAAACCCCGCCCTTTAAAAACAATTGATGATAAAATTACTCTCACAGTCAACACTTTTATTTTGGAAATCCGCACCAGAACAGCAGCATGGAGGCGTGCTGTTTGGCTTGACAGATGGCAGGCGGGAGACACTCCTCACGGCTGTCTCTCTCGGTCCGTTGGTCCATCCCGGTTCCCATTGTCTCCCCCTTTTCACTTCTTCAAGACAAACCCTGAGACGAGAAACTGGACCCAGACGTCATTTGGCTCGGAGCCGCTACTGCGCGTCACCTTTACAGACGCGTAATTCTGCGCGAAATTTGGACATCCGTGCGTTTATTTTGTTTTTGCTTGTATTGATTATTTGGGAAGTGTCTTTATAAAAAAAAAAGAAGGCTGGGGAGCAACTGATCGTCGAGTCGGGCTGCTGACAAAGAAATATAAAAGAAAAACAATAAAAACATTGGAGAAGAAGGAAAGATGATCATGAGGAGGGGGACTCATTAGACAGAAGAGCCACAGAAATCATCTTCCAGGAGGCTGACATAAATCAGAGTACCTTATAAACGCCTTCAGCTGACACTGCCTATGTGGATAAGCCATTTAGTGGAAAAAAAAACTCGCGTGGAAAGAAGACATCTGTGTTTGGGTGAGGATGTTGCCGCTGCGTGTCTCTGACTTCCCCTGAGAAAAGAATTGGAGAGGAGCCCCTCTGTTTGTGTGGAGATACAAAAAAAATAGATGCAGGGGCCACTTTCACTTGTTTCCTTCACCTGGAAACAAATTACGCCCACCAAAGCAGGCAATCTGGGCTTTAATCGGATTATTGAGGAAGAGACCTGAGAGATCGGAGGGAAATTATCTGGCCAATTCCACCATCTGCCTGCTGCTGTCCAGGATTGTGCCCCTTCAGCAGGGCTAAAGATGCGACTCAACGACATGAGCCCTGAAAGGATTACTAGTCCAACAAGGTGAAGTCTGGAAAAACTGAATGGACACAGTTGGAACATCATCTCATCGATGCAAAGGGATTTTTACTAACTTCACCCCACTTGTTTGTTTTATTTCTGCTAAAATAGCCTGTTATTCAAGATGAATAATAATATTTTGTCTTGAATTTTCTTAAATGGTCATAGTTGAGTCCTGATCTGAGTTAAAACATACAGACTACCTATCTCCCTTTCATCTGAATGAAGCTGTCATCCTTTATTGTTTTAAGGACCAGAGAGTACAGGGACTGAGCTCTGCACTCTGAGGCCACAGAGCAGCATCTCCACCTGGGGCTGCCAGACAGCCAGACGGCCCCTTACGCACTGCAGGTGGGGTTGGAGGTAAAGGAAAAGACTTTGGGGATTATCTACTTTCTGGAACTCTGCATAGAAGGAGGAGGATATCATGGGGTGTTGCAGCGGCAGGTGCACCTTGGCCTTCATCTGTGGCATGCAGCTGGTAAGTGCTGAGATTACTATTGATCCCGTAAGGTAGATGATCGATCAGGAGAGAAAAGCTTTTATTTCATTTATTTTTATTGTGTAAGAGCTTGACATACAAACTGTCTGTCATGGGGATGTATCTTAAATGTGGCTTGGAAGTTGGAGACAGGTGGGTGGATGAATTACTCAAAGGCTACAAATCCAGAAGTAAATAGGAAAGTAAAAGGTCACCTTATAGGGGATGAAAGAAGCTCTTCATATAACTGATCTCAAGAGTAATTGGAGAGAAACATGCTTTGCTGATTTGCAAGTGAGATCAGGAGAGACAGCCGGATGGATTGAAGAAGGAAATAGAATCACCTCCTGCTTATATGTTTCTTGGTGCTGCTCTTTATCTTTAACCATCTGGAGTGTCGGGAAGCACTACCAAACCAGAATGAAGGAGCAGAGGTGTTTGCATGCATGCACATCATTGGCATCCCCACCCGAAAACTCAGAAAATGTTAACAAAGAGCTCCTTTCGCTGCTTGAAAGGAACCTGCTGCTGTGATGCAGAGGGTTTTTATCAGCTTTAATCAAACATCTTGACAAATATGAGTTGGTTATGATCAGCAATGCACACATGGTCGTGAAACTAATTCAACCTTTAATTTGAGTTAATTCAATTAATTAGGGGAAATACAATTCATGCTTAAAAAACATTTTTCCAGATAGGAAACATTTATTTAGACTACCAGTTAGTAATCCATCATTTTCTGCTCCATAGAAGCTTTTTTGTTTTAGTCACACATGCCACATATGGCGAGACAGATTGAAACAGCAGTATAGAAGAAGTATAACAATAGAAACAAGCGATTCCCGGAAAAGAGTGAGTAACAGAAAAAAATTAATAAGGATAAGTATGTAAAGAATTACCTCATGCCCACTTTTAAGTATGGTAGAGGAACTATAATGCTGTGGGTATATTTCTCCTTCAAATCCATGCATGACATCATAAGTCTAATACCAGAGGATTATAAATAGATATGTGTATCTAAAATCTGATCATGAGTGAGTCTTCATCAAAAATTTTATCTAACATGTGACCAAATTAACATCAAACTTCTATATGACACATAATTGACATTCTTTGCTGCCGCAGTATAAGATTTAAATCCGATAGAGAGAAAATGGAACAAAACTGAGGATGATCCATAGAGAGTGATAATCTCTCTGTAAGCCCTATCCTGTTGGCAAAAGGTGATCATTAAAATGTTTACTGCAGGGAGTGCAAATACATGTGCAATTAAAACTTTTTTAACAATAATTATTCTTTAAAGAAGGTATATTTTTTTCTAATAAAGAAATGCCCTTTTTTTAAAGGTTGGCTTTTCTAAAATGTTCTACAGGACGGATATGTTACTGCATAAATGAGTTTATTTTAAAGGATTTTTTTGTACACATCTTTTCCATAGAAATCCTATTGATTTAAGAACAGAATATCCGTCTTATATCTTCTGTTATATTCTCCTACCGGTCTGTCACAGCTGTTTCTTTCTGCCAATCACCAAACAAACCACCGTCGCCCCGCCTGCCAATCATCCAATGTCGCCCCTAAAGTTTGGAACGTACATTCAGTCTGACCTTTGCGATAAAGGAAGTGCTGTAAATAATTTCATGCTAAACTTTGGCCTCAGATGTGTTGTTAGGTCTCTGTAGGTGCATCTGCAAACTGCTGTGTTTAATACATTTACTGTTTGAACCAGTGAACTGTAAAGTCAGATGCAGGCCCCTCCTGGGAAGAGTTAGACCTCACTAAGTGGGAGCCTTGGATACAAGAGCTACAGTAACAGAGCGCTCCTGTTTGTGGTAACATTTAGAGAGGGTAGTTTAATTGGAGCATGCATGCTGTTTTTGCAGCAGGATATTCATTCATTTATCCACCCATTCTCCTTACTCTTTAAACTGCTGCAGGAGGGATGTTCAAGCAGGAACATGCTAAATATGTTGTAGTACAAGTGGTGCTGGGAGCAGACATTGCCCCACTTTGGGCCTATAAATAGTGTTATCAATTATTTTTATTAGATGCCTCGGTTTAGATCGCATCTGAAATCCAGTTAGTCTGTCATGCAAATTCTTGATTATAATCACTAAAAGCTAACACATCATTTGAAGATCAGTACAGTGGAAAATAATCATTATTATTCAACAACATACTCGAAGAAAAGGTAAAAGTGCGCTTTCAAGCATGCTCACTCTTGCCTTAGAGCATGTCCTGAAAAAGAAAAAACACCAAGACATGTAAGAATCTCTGTAAAGTGTTTTAAGATTGCAGCTTCTTCTTTAAAATGGATAATGTGTCCTGTTATTGTACAACAGATGCAAGCTGTTTTTTTTCTCCAAAATAACATCTTAAGTATTTCTGAGTTTGAGCCTTTTGTAAATGTGTTGCCTGTGGGTTTTGCCAAGATTACTGCTGAAAACAAGCATCTCCACTGTGCCTTCTGCATTTATGTTTCTCACACAAGTCTTGTTTACAAGTACAATATGAAGTGGGATGTGTTATGCATTTGTATTTAGCTCTCCTGAGTGAATTATTTGTGGACGCACCTTATAGAAGCAGCAATTTTTGTGTTTTTTTTCTTGTTTACTTAATAAGTCTTAGGCCTGGACTTGGAGCAGAAATTCCTCTGGTCCACGCCACTGGTTCCAAGCTCTGGTCCTCATTGTTGTATCTCCGTTGTGTTTTAGATGTGTCATTGCTCTAGCATACCTGATCATAATGTTTTCCTCCTTAGCATACTACCAAGGGACGCTGAATTCAGTGAATTTATTTAGGTCAGGTGTGTAGAAGCAGAGAAGCACACCCCGGACAGTTTTTTTGTTCAGGTGTCCTGCTGGAAAGAGAGGCTCTGCATCAGACTCTAACAGGATTTCTTCCTGTATTTCAACATCATTAATCCCCACAGCATGATACTGCCTCCTCTTTACCCCATAGTGGGGAATTTGTTTCCAGATTGATGTGCCTCATGTATAACTGCACTGGATTTAATTTGGGGCCCTGAGAATAAACGAGTTGTAAAATATGTTTCACCTTTTTTATCTTTTCTAAATGTTTAAAATCCCCCAACATTTTCTTTCACAACTGGTAAAAAAAAAAAAAAAGAGAAATTGAGGCTAAAGCACAATTGCACTGTACACTCACCGGCCACTTTATTAGGTACCCCATGCTAGTAACGGGTTGGACCCCCTTTTGCCTTCAGAACTGCCTCAGTTCTTCGTGGCATAGATTCAACAAGGTGCTGGAAGCATTCCTCAGGGAGTTTGGTCCATATTGACATGATAGCATCACACAGTTGCCGCAGATTTGTCGGCTGCACATCCATGATGCGAATCTCCCGTTCCACCACATCCCAAAGATGCTCTATTGGATTGAGATCTGGTGACTGTGGAGGCCATTTGAGTACAGTGAACTCATTGTAATGTTCAAGAAACCAGTCTGAGATGATTCCAGCTTTATGACATGGCGCATTATCCTGCTGAAAGTAGCCATGAGAAGTTGGGTACATTGTGGTCATAAAGGGATAGACATGGTCAGCAACAATACTCAGGTAGGCTGTGGCGTTGCAACGATGCTCAATTGGTACCAAGGGGCCCAAAGAGTGCCAAGAAAATATTCCCCACACCATGACACCACCACCACCAGCCTGAACCGTTGATACAAGGCAGGTTGGATCCATGCTTTCATGTTGTAGACGCCAAATTCTGACCCTACCATCCGAATGTCGCAGCAGAAATCGAGACTCATCAGACCAGGCAACGTTTTTCCAATCTTCCATTGTCCAATTTCGATGATGACCTCTGGCATCAACAAGGCATTTCTGCCCACAGAACTGCCGCTCACTGAATGTTTTTTCTTTTTCGGACCATTCTCTGTAAACCCTAGAGATGGTTGTGCGTGAAAATCCCTGTAGATCAGCAGTTTCTGAAATACTCAGACCAGCCCTTCTGGTACCAACAATCATGCCACGTTCAAAGTCACTCAACTCACCTTTCTTCCCCATACTGATGCTCAGTTTGAACTGCAGGAGATTGTCTTGACCATGTCTACATGCCTAAATGCACTGAGTTGCCGCCATGTGATTGGCTGCTTAGAAATTAAGTGTTAACGAGCAGTTGGACAGGTGTACCTAATAAAGTGGCCGGTGAGTGTATATTCAATATGAACACAGTGCAGTTGTTTTCCCAGTGAAAAGGGAAGAGTCAGTGACTCCATGGGTACCTTCTTCTTTATTATAAGGACAACCCTGGAACATCACCTAATTTACTATGAGATTTTATGTGCGTGACCCCTTATTGTGAAAGTGTCTGCTTGTAAAAGGCCTATAGTGCTGTGAAATGGCATAGTGCTGGGTACATTTCGACTCACAAGAGAGGCACAGCTGTGTAAGGGAACTTGTTTACATCAGAATGCTAATGATATTGCAGCATGCAGCGCACATACATGAAACTCACCACCATGCTGTAAATGAGTGGTGCTGTGTGTTTCCGTTAGTGACATAAAGGCCGCGCTCGTGTATGTGTGTGAGCGAATGTGAATGAGATTCTGTCAGAGTGATAGTCATTGTGTCTAATGCAGTGGAACTAATGCTATGCCACAGTCAACAACACGTTTTGCTCTGTTAACTATTGTAATAACTAAAGCGGCTGATATCAGTGCTAGCTGAGAAACTGTACATTTGTACCATGGTTTTTCACAGTTTGCATTTACGTCAGTGTCAGAAACCACATTACACTCAGGTTTTTGTTGAGAGTGCTTACTAGACCACAAACTAAGAGAGAAATTATTTTTGCTAGAAGTTTCCACCAAACAGGTGACTTTTCAGAGCACAACAAAACTGATCTGGTTCATCTTTCTGAATTAGTCAAACCGATGGCCCATATAGGTTAACAGTACTTTTTTAACCTGCCTCATTAGCTAGGTTAATTAGAAAGACGTCAGGTCACTACAGCTGAGCAGGGATCGATGATCTTGAT